AGACCCATACTAGGGCATTATGATGAGGACATGTGCAGATTGGCAGTTTTGTTGCCTACTACCCAGATGGAAGTCACCAATCTAGGGTGGAGTGAGAAAGGGACCTGCACAGATCTGGGCCTTCCTAAGTGAGGAGGCTCTGGGTGGTGTACTGAGAGAGATGGAAGTTCAGAAGCAAGCAACAGCTGTTTGGCTCAGCCCTAGGCTTGGAGCAGGATCTCATTTCTAGCATCTAGCCCAGCCTGCAGAGGAATAACCAAGGCAGGAATCTTAGACCAAATAGAAAACTATGATTCTGCTTCTCAGTGGATAAAGGGCTGGACCTGAAGTCAGGAAAACTCATCTTCCTGAGTTTAAATTTGGCCTCAGACACTTACTAGCTGTGTGACCCAGGGCAAGTCATTTAACCCTGTTTGTCTCGGTTCCTTATCTGTAAAAGGAGCTGGATGAGGAAATGGCAGACCATTTTGGTATCTTTGTCAAGGAAACCACTAATAAGGTCACTGAGAGTTGAACATGACTGAAAAACAATTGAACATCAACTGAAAAAACCAATGGAGCTTTCTAGCTGGTTGATAGGGGATGAGTCCAGCATCATTCTGTTCTTACATAGAACCAGATCCATGTCAGGAACTTGGAGAGCTCAGACCACTGGGGCAGCAAACAGACTTCCTCTAGAACAGACCACTTTGGAATAACTGAAAGCTTGCAGGTCCCCACCCTGTTCCTGAGATCCTGGAATAACTCAGCATTCAATATCCAAGAAAGTAGCAATAGGACTAGCTCAGACCTTCTTATGGAAGTGCAGCAGAACCCAACCCTAATATCAAGTTGGAAGTCAAGAAGTAAGTTAGAAAAATGGGCAAACAAAAAAAGAAGCCCGCCATAAAGAGCTGTTATTGTGGCAGGAATACTCAAGATACAATGCAGAAGAAAATGACTCTAAAACATCTACAAGCAAATTCTCAGAGAAAAACGCAGCCAACATTTTTGGAAGAGATGAAGTAAGAGTTCTAAAAAAGAGTTAAATGTTTTTATAAAAATGGAAGAAAGAATTGGAAAGGGGATTATTAGCTTGGCACAAGAAGTAATAAACCTTGCTTAAACAATAAACCTGTGAAAATTAGAATGGACCAAATAGAAGCCAATGAGTTCATAAGGCATCAAAAAATATTAAAACCAAAAGGCTAAAAAAAATTGCAAAATATGTAAGTTATCTCATAGCAAAAACAATTTACTTGGAAAACAAAGTGAAAAGAAAAAACTCTTAAGACTCGTTGTACTGCCCCTGACCCTGAGCATGCCCAAGCCACTGGTGAACTTCTGCCACAAGCCCATCCTGCTGCACCGGTGGAGGTGCTGGTGAAGAAGGCAGGAGTGAATCACATGATCCTGGCTGTGAGCTACATGTCTGAGATGTTGGAGAAGGCAGTGAAGGAACAGGAGCTAAGGCTGGGGATTCGAATCTCCTTGTCTCATGAACAGGAGCCTCTGGGAACAGGTGACCAAAGTGGAGGAGCCCTCCAAGTACAGGGTGGTGGTGAGTGATGCAGACACAGACCGAATCCACTGATTTGTGGAGAAGCCCCAGGTCTTTGTGTCCAGTCAGATCAATGCTGGTATGTACATCTTTAGTCCCAGAGTGTTACAGCAAATCCAGTTACAGCCCATGTCTGTTGAGAAGGAAATCTTCCCTGTGATGGCCAAGGAAGGGCAGTTGTATGCCATGGAACTCCCAGGCTTCTGGATGGACATCAGGCAGCCCAAGAACTTCCTAACAGGGATGTGCCTCTTCCTGCAGTCACTGAGGCAGACGCAGCCTGAGTGGCTCTACTCTGGCCTGGGCATTGTGGGCAGCATGCTGGTGGATCCGACCGCCAGGATTGGCCAGAACTGTAGCATCAGCAACGTCAGCCTGGGCCCTGGTGTGGTGGTAGACGATGGCATGTGTATCAAGCGATGCACAGTGCTGCGAGGTGCCAATATCCATTCTCACTCATGGCTTGATTCCTGCATTGTGGGCTGGAGCTCCTGTGTGGGCCAGTGGGTGTGCATGGAGTATGTGACCTTGCTGAGAGAGGATGTCATCATAGGCAATGAGCTCTACCTCAGTGGGGCCAGTGTACTGCCCCACAAATCCATTGGTGAATCAGTGCCTGAGCCTCAAATCATCATGTGAACTGAGGTGCAGAGCACAGCAGCTCCTGTTGCCCTGGGCAAGGCTCAGGTATTTCTGTGCCTCCAAGGGGAGGGAGCTAGAGCCCTCTCCCCAGCCCATCACCACAAAGTGAAGGAGAAGGCCCCTGTAAATAGCTCTGTTTATAATGTAAGAGTTTAAACAAAGCTGGCATTATATTGTTTAAAAAAAAAAAAAAGAACAGTTGTACTATCTGAAAACATCATAACCAAAAAAAAGGGCCTAGGACATTCTATTTCAAGAAATCTTAGAAAATTGTCCAGATCCTTTGGAACCAAAGGGCAAAGTGCAAATTAAAAAAATCATAGTTTACTTTCTGAAATTTACCTTCTGAAAGAAATCTCAAAATGAGAACTCCTAGGAACATCATAGCCAAAACCCAGAACTTTCAGGTCAAAAAAACAAAACAAAACAAAACAAAACCACAAGCAGTTAGAAAGAAAGAATTCAAGTATTGAGCCACAGTGGGAATCATACACAATTTCATGGACACCACTATAAAAGAGCAGAGAACTTGGGATATGATATTCCAGAAGGCAAAAGGATATGGGCTTACGGCCAAAAAGAACTTACCAAGAAAACAAAGTATAATGCTGTAGTGGGGGAAAGGAGCCTTTAATGAAACAGAGGACTTCCAAGCATTCCTGATGAAAAAAAAAACAGAGCTGAAGAGAAAATTTAAAGTTCAAACACAGGAGTGAAAAGAAACATGGAAAATTAAACATGAGTGAACACTACATTCACATATGGGAAGATGATACATGTGTCCTCTCTGAGCCCTACTCTCATCAGGATCCATAGAATCTGATTTCACAAGGCCTGGGAGTGGTTCTATTATGTCTTGGTGGTCTTAAGAATAGGAAGAAAGAGGTAGTCTGTGACAACTTGCAACCAGAGGCTGAAAGGAAAAAACAGATTTTCCGTAAGGACTACATGAATACCTTGCTGTTGTTGATGCTGTTTTCTGTTTGTCCTTTGTTCTTGAAGAAGACCATGACATTTGGGAGGTGATGCCCTAAAATGTAAGTGAATTGGATTTAAGTGAGGGAGGGCTGTACAAAGTCACTAGCCTCACTTTCTCCTCTGGAGCCATTTGGGTGCAGTGGCCAGATATGGAGCAGGACAATACCTAGGAAAAAAATGAAGCAAGAGATTAAAAAAAGAAGAAATGAAAGCTCTGAAGGAAAGAATTGAAGAGAACAGCTTAGAACAGAAAGTAGTAAAGTTTACCTAAATGAACTACCTGAAAATGAGAATTAAGAGATCCCTGCTACCTTTGCAGAGAGAACTTTCAGTTCAGTGATTCTCAGATTGATTCTTTGGAAACTGTAGTGTTCCATGACTAATAGCCATACAAAAATGCCAAAAGAATATTGGTATTAGAAAAATGAGCCACTCAAAGGCCCTTTTCTTTCTACCTAAAAAATCATCTCCAAGAAAGAATAACTTTTTTCTTAGAAATCAACTCAGAGAAGGAATAATCTTTCTCCTCAAGCTCAGTTCCAAGAAAAACTATCCTTTGGACTCTTGAGATGCCTCCCTGTAGGGCGTATACTAGGTAGAATGGTTTATTATTCCAATCCGTTGTGCCAAATTGTGCCATTAATCTGTTGTTACTTGCTAAAAAATCATTGGTTTATCTTGAGTGACTGAGATCTTCAGACCCCATTTATTCAGACCTGTTCAGTTATTAATTTCCTTTCAGGTATCCTTGTTATTTGTTTAGTGGCAAAGGACTTAAAATTCAGAGTTCTTAATTTCTTTCTTGGAAACCATTTGAGGGTGTCTCCAGAAATCTCAGGCTATTTCAGAAAGTCAAAGTAGAATTCAAATATTCCTGGTATCCCTTAATAAATAATTTTAAAATTTTATCATTCATAAATTCTTCTAAAATCTTGAAACTACTTATGTTTTCAGCCTGTACTTCCTTTTGGTCTTCCATAGGATTATAGGATCATAGATTTAGAGCTGGAAGGGGTCTTCAATCCAGTCCAGCCCCTTAATTTTACAGATAGGATAACTGAGGTCCAGAAGGGTTAAATCACTTACAGTCTAAGTGACTTCCCTAAATGGCAGAGCTAGGATTAGAACTTAGGTACTCAGAATCCAAATCCAGTGCTCCTTTCATTGCACTGTGTTACTTCATAAATTTACTTAGTAAAGTAAGATACTGGCAACATAAATTTCTGCGATCTTTATAGCAGTTTTGTTTTTAAAAATTAAATAAATTTTTTTTTCAGTAGACAAAAATCTGTTTTCTTCACCTTTACCTCCCCTACCATTGAAGAAGAAATAAAAAGAAAATGTGTTGTTGTTCGGTCACGTTTCAGTCATCTGACTCTTTGTGACCCCATTTGGGATTTTCTTGGCAGAGATACTAGAGTGGTTTCCCATTTCCTTCTCCAGACCATTTTGTAGATGATGAAACTGAGGCAAATAGGGTTAAGTGACTTGCTCAGGGTCACCCAGCTGGTAAGTGTATAAGGCTAGATTTGAACTCATGAAGATGAGTCTTTCCGACTCTAGGATCAGCACTGTATCCACTGAACCACCTAGCTGCCCTTAAAAAAATGCTTATATACACATATTCATAGTCAGGTAGTCAAGCAAAAGAAATTCCTGCATTGGCTATGACCGAAAAAAATACGTCTCAGTCAGCGTCCTGAATCTATCACCTGTCTGCAGGAGGTTAGTAGTATCTTCCATTTCTTTCTGGACAGAATTGGGAGGTAGAGTGGTAATTACCAACACTGCTTTACTTTATATAGTTAGAGAATTAACTTTTCTTTCCTTCTGTCTGCAGCCATCATTTCACCAGGTTGATAACATTCGAGGAACACGTCATCATGGGCTTGTGGAAAGAGTCTCCCGGAATCGCTTTCATCCCTTGCACCGAAGATCTGGGGATAAACCAGGAAGACAAATATCCTTTTTTGTTCTCATTTGATGAAAATTAATTTTGAAATTTCTGGACAGCCTACCTAGCATTCACCTTTAGTTTTCAGTCTTCATTGTTAGTGGATTATCTGAGACAATTGAAATAGACAGTGCCTAGACACATTTCTAAAGTTTAAATGATTGAAGAGCAATTTTTAAAAAATAGATTTCTATCTGTTTTTGTTTTTACATCATCTGGAAGATTTTCCCTGTATCTCTACTCTTTCCGTTCCCTGAAATCCATCCCTTGAAATAATTTGTTTTAAAGAGAAAACAGAGGTAAAAATCCAGCAATCAGTACAGCAAAGACTGACATTCTATGCAGTGCTCTCATAGATCCACCTCTACAAAGGAAGGGGAGACATGTCTTCTCCTATCACTTTTTTTGGGCCAAGTTTGTGCTTTGTAATTCTGCAGCATTCATTTTCTTTGTTTTGTAATGGTTATTCTTTCATATACATTGTTGTAGACATTATACATACTCTCTTGGTTCTGCTTATTCCCTTTGCATCAGTTCAGGTAAGTCTTTCCATACTTCTCTGTATTCTTCATATTCATCATTTCTTACAACACAGTAATATCCTCTTACATTCATGTACCACAGTTGATTCAGCTATTTCTCAATCAGTGGTCATCTACTTTGTTTCCTATTCTTTACGGCCTTAGAAAGTGCTGCTATCAGTATTTTGGTGTATATGGAGCCTTTCTTTTTGTCTGTGACCTCCTTGAGATATGTGCTTAACAGTGGAATCTCTGGGCCACTGTATTTGGCATAATTTCAAATTACTTTCCAGAATGATTAGATCACTTTATAGCTTTGTCAGCACAACTTTATGTAATTAATACCTCCATGAAAACACCTTTAAGTTTTAGGTCATTCAAATAATTGGGATTTTAGTCCAACCCTTCTTCAAAGACCTTTCATTGTTTTTCTTGGAGATTAGCATGGCAAGTGTTTTATCTGTTATGAATTAGGTTAGAACTTTTAAGTCTGCTGACTGAAACATATAAAATTATACATTTTGTATTTATTTCACTTAACATGCTGTCAGAATATAAAGACAGCTAAAGTACTCACCCATACACCATTGACTTCTGAAGTAGGAAAGAGAGTTTAAATTTATTTAGCAAATATTTAATGAGCACCACCAGTGTTTTTAGTGCTATCGGCAATACAGAATACATGTAATACGTAGCTCTTTCTTATCTTAGTGCAGGAAACTAGATTATAAAGGGAATGAAGGCTTTTTCTAAGACTTCATTCATCCCTGTCTGTTTGTCAGTAGCAGAGAGATGACCCTTTTGAATTAGACTAAACCAAGCTGGAACAGTGAATGACAGGAATTTTTTCTGCTTCCTACTTCTTATTTATGTTTATCTATAAGAACATTGCTCTAGAGCTGTAAGGGACATTAATCTAATCCGACTTTCTCATTTAAAATTTAACACTTTCCACTATAGTCTGTTGCCACTCATGGCTTTTCCCTTTTTCCCTAATCAACTTGGGAAACAGACCTAATAGTGTTATTGCTGGGTCAAAAGGTATACATGGTTTTCTGACTCTTTGAGTATAATTTGAGAGATTGTTCTCCAAAATGGTTGGATCAGTTTACGTTTCCACCAGCTGTGAATAAGTGTCCCAATTTTTACGTACCTCCTTCAACATTTGTTGCTTTCCCCTTCTATCATTTTAGCCAATCTGGTAGGCGTAAATTTTTAAAAAGAGAAGAGAATCAAATCACTAGCATTAGAAATGAAAAGGGTGAATATGCTATTAAGAAATCAAAGCAATTATAACAAGTTATTTTGCCCAGTTATATGCCAATAAATTTAACAATTTGAGTAAAATGGAAAAATAGCTATAAAAATAGAAACTGCCAAGTTTAACAGAAGAAGAAATACAATATCTAAATGTAATAGTGGGGGACTTTCACCTTCCCCTCCCAGAATTAAATAAACCTAACCAAAAAATAAATAAGAAAGAAGTCAAGGAGGTGAACAGAATCTTAGATAGGATAGGTATCTGGAGAAAATTAAATGGGAATAGAAAGGAATGCACCTTTTTCTCAGCCCCCAATATCTATTTCCACCTATAATTCATTTAACTTTTCCTTTAAAATTTTGGATGCTATAGCATTTGGTGCATATAGGTTTAATATTGATATTGCTTCGTTGTCTGTGGCACCTTTTTTCATAATGTAGTTTCCCTGTTTATCTCTTTTAATTAAATCTGTTTTAGCCTTAGCTTTGTCTGAAATCATGATTGCTACTCGTGCTTTTTTTACATAAACTAAAGCGTAATAAATTCTTCTCCAGCCCTTTATTTTAACTCACTGTTTATCTCTCATTTTTAAATGTCTTGTAAACAACATATTGTCAGATTCTGATTCTGAATCCATTCTACTGTTTTTGTTTTATGGATCAATTCATCCCATTCACATTCAAAGTTATAATTACTGATTGTGTATTTCTTTCCATCCTATTTTTCCTCACTATTATCCTTCCCACCCTCTCTTTTTACCTCATCCATCCTCACACTTCTAATTTACTTCTAACCACTACTTCCCTGATCTACACCCTTTTGAAGAACCCCTCCTTATCCTTTCCCCTTACCATCTTATTCCTTAATCTGCCCACCCCTCAAAGAGTCCCTTCCTTATTTTCTCCCCCTATCCTCCTACTTCTTGATGTATACACCCTTCTAAAAGTCCCTCCCTTATCCTGTTCCCTCACCCTATTTCTTTATAAATTTAGGAGACTTTTATGCCCTTCGAGATGTATGTGTTATTCCCTCTTCAACCCAGCTTCGATGAGGGGAAGGTTCCAGCACTATCGTCCCCCCCCACTCTCACCTGCTTCCACTTGAACAGCTCTTCATTCGTGCCTTGTTTGTGTGAGATAATTGCTCCATTTTACTTCTCCCTACCCAGTTTTATTTTTTAGAATCATCTCACCATACTCAACTCCACCCCAAGCCTTTCATCTATGTATATTCTTTCAAACTACCCAAGTAATGATAACATTCTTAAGAGTACAGATAACATTTTCCCATATGAAAAGTAAATAGTTTGACCTTATTGAATCCCTTATAATTGGTCTTTAATGTTTACCTTATATTTCTCCTGGATCTTATGTGTTGATTTTCCATTGAATTCTGATCTTTTTGTTATAAATACCTGAAAGTCTTCCAATTCATTAAGTGTCCATTTTTTTTTTTTTGTTCAGGATTATACTAAGCTTTGCTGGGTAAGTTATTCATGATTTCAAACCCAGCTCCTTTGCTCTTTGAAATATAATGTTCGGAGCTCTCCAGTCTTTTAACATAGAAGCTTCTAGATCTTGTGTTAACCTGACCGTAGCTCCACAATATTTAAATTATTTTTTCTTGTTGCTTGTAGTATTTTCTCTTTGACCTGGGAGCTTTGAAACTTGGTTATAATGTTCTTGTGAGTTTTCATCTTGGGATCTCTTTCAGGTGGTGATTGGTAGATTTTTCTATTTCTGTTTACCCTCTTGTTCCAGAACTTCAGGGCAATTTTCCTTAATAATTTCTTGTAATGTAGTATCTAGACTCTTTTTAAATCATAACTTTCAGGTTGTCCAGCAATTCTTATATTGTTTCTTCTTGATCTGTTCTCCAGATCATTTGTTATTCTAATTACATGTTTCATTCTTTTGATTTTGTTTTATTATTTATTGCTGTCTTATAATGTCATTAGCTTTCCCTTGCCCAATGGTAAGCTGTTTATTTATTTATTTTTAGTTTTTGACATTCACTTCCATAAGATCTTGAGTTCCAAATTTTCTCCCCCATCCTAAGATGGCATGCAGTCTGATATAACCTGTACGTATACATTCATATTAAAGACATTTTCACATTAGTCATGTGATGGGGGCAGCTAGGTGGAGCAGTGGATAGAGGACTGGCCCTGGATTCAGGAGGACCTGAGTTCAAATCTGGCCTCAGACACATAACACTTACTAGCTGTGTGGCCCTGGGCAAGTCACCTAACCCCATTGCCTAACCGAAAAAAACAAAATACAAAAAAACCTCATTAGTCATGTTGTAATGAAGAATTAGAATGGGAGGAACCACGAGAAAGAAGAAACAAAAAAAAGAGCAAATAGTATGCTTCGATCTGCATAAATTAAATGCCCAATGATAGCTTTTAAGGAGTTTTTTTCTTCTTTAACTTTTTAGATCTCTTTTTCCAGTTGGTTGGCTTTCTTTTCATAATTTACTTGATTTTCTTGTATTGCTCTTATTTTTTTTTCCTGATTTTTCCTCAGCTTTTCTTACTTGATTTTTAAACTCTTTTTTAAGCTCTTCTAAGAACTCTTTTTGGGCTTGTAACCATTTGACATTTTTCTTTGATGTAGGAATGACTTTTTTAACCCAGAGCTACTTTATGCCTATAGTAGCTCTCTGTGGTCAGGTTCTTTCTCTTTTGCTTACTTATTCATTCATTCATTCATTTATTTTTTAGTAGCTTATTATTATAGTCAGGTTTTAATCCCAAGGTAGTAGGGATAACGCCGTGGGCTTGAGGTTTTGTTGTTTTCTGAGCTCTGGGAGCCTGACCTTGTGCTCTCCTCTCCACCTTGAGCCATGGCCAGGCCTCCAGCCATGCCATCACCTTACATGTTGTTGCTCCTTGCGGTCCCTCCTGTGGCTGCAAACTCCAGTTCACTCCTCTGCCCTGGAACTGAAACCAGGGATTCTGTTTCCCTGCAAGTGCCCACAGTCAGCAGGGTGCCTGCCCCTCTCCAGCCACAGCTACAGCCCAGGACTGTGTCTGGTCAGCACACCTGTGGAGAGTCCTTCAGCCTTCCCTGGCTCAGCTGTCTGACTCCCACCCTGTCTGTGAAGTGGAAGTTCCTGAAGCTGAGGCTGCCTCTGGACACAGTGCCATGCCAGGCTCACTTTGAGGGGATGCTTTACCTTGTTTGTGGGAGAATTTTGGAGATCCCAATATTTCCTGTCTT